GAAAATAAATTTCTCGCCTTTAAGCGACGCTCCAAAAATGGTTTCACTCCTTTGTGGCTCTGCTTGCGTTTGTGACGCTTATTTTTTGGTATGTTCACTACACTGGTCGCTGGGACTGAAAGAATGTAACAAGAGTGTGTTTTCTTGTTTTGTATAGAACGGTGCTGTGTTGACTTTATAGTTGAGGCCATTGATATTGTTGTCATGTTATATGCTGTGCGGTTGTTTAATGAAATGTTCCTCTTTGTGAACTCTAAATTTATTGGACGTATATCGTTTTACTTTCAGAAGCAAGAAATAAAGGGGCCGATAGTCACACGGTAAGACTACCATATTCACAGTTGTATGCGTCTCTGATGTTCCAAGTCAAAACTTAACATTGCGCTTGTACTGACAAATGAAATTGTATGTTATTACAAACAAGTACTTTTGTCAAATTATTTCTGTATTGCGCTCCAAGCAGCTTTCTTTATTACTTTGTGTCTGATAGGCGTTTCGATATTGTTCAAATTTAGCTTCATAATTGCGTGGTATGTTTTATTAGACTACTACTCAATACTAGGAAAATGCAATAAGCTTTCATTTGCAGTATTTTTTGCCCAGTAACAAATATTACACCTCGTGGCGTGGCTTGCGCCAATACTTAAGAATGTGTCTTGTTTCGTATGTTCATGCGCTAGCGCGAAAGACCAGGGTAGCGAAAAATTCTGGTGTAATCGTCGACGGTGCTGGCTGGCATATAAAAGTTACGATCAACGCAAAACAGACAAAAAAATAGGGGTTTGAGCCGAAAGCTCTTAGTTACATTAAATGGTTCAGCTAGAGATCCTCGCCAGCTTCTATTTCCAGTGCCCAATGACAAAAAGAGGACTAAACAAGAAAAAAAAAGCCGAGAAGACAAATTGGAGGCTGCTTCTACAGTAGCCTATAATAAAACAGGCGCCGTAATTTTTTTAAGTATCTTTCTGTCGTTTTTCGTTATTGCGATAGCAGTTGTATGGGTATTCTAAACACATTTTCGGTGCCACTCTCATGTTCCATATTAAATTCAAATCAATAACACCACTCTGCGCATCGTATGTGCTACACACGAGTTAGAGCGCGTTAGGGCTGCCGATGAATGCGAGTCAGAGACAAAACGAGCCGGCCATCTCTGTAGCGCGAAAGTCGCATCAGGATAGGATTGTGGGGGGGGGGGGGGGGAGAAGGTTTGTGTTTCTAGCAGTGATTGCGTACTATGGCCGACTGGGCATGTGGCTCGTGGTCACACGCGTCTTTTTTTAGAGGATCACCAAACGCGTTCTACATCTGAACGTCTTGTACTTTTGTCGCAAAGTTATCGTGGAAGCCAGGACATCAGGAAGACCACCCGTGTACACGCTGTGTTTTCATGGCAAAGTTAGCGTGAAAGCCATCAACATCACGTAGGTCACCCCTTAACATGGTATGCTTTCATCGCGTAAAATTGCATGGAAGCCGCAGGCAACACAAATGTGATCTCTGACGCCTAGTCAGCGCGGAAGCCATAGACAGCACGAAGGTAACATTGCAACGTGTGCGTTCATTGCGAAGTTTGCATGGAAGCCAAGTACGTCGCGATGGTAACCCCTGAACGTGTTCTGCTTTCGTCAAAAAGTTTGAGTGGAAGTCATGAACAGGGCGAAGGCCCCCTGTAAACTCAAAGTTCCTGTGAAAACCATGTACAGTCGGAAGGTCACCCACTGAACACAAAGTTGGCATCGAAGCCATGGCGAGCCCGGAGGTCACCATAACACATTCAGCTTTAGTTGATTCGTGACTCAAGTATAAATCGCAGCAAATTAATTGGTACACAAATATTTTGCTTCATCATGACAACCATCCCTGTGCTTCCATCGGTGCCCTTCTCTGTGCAACGGCCGAAGAGCAGATGGCAACGCTTGTAGAACAAATGGTCCTTTCAGGCAACAGGTCCACTATTCTGGAATGTCGGCAACGTCTTCTTGACATTACCATCGTTCAAAAATACTTTAGGTCTTATTAGCTTGTTTTTGCCGTGCTGTTCGGAACCATTCTTGGTGGGGTCTTCGAGGAAACATCAGAGAGTGTTGGGGCTGCAAATTATCATACTTGAGCAGCAATGCGCATAAGAGACCATGAGCAAGATTCACTGCGAATCACTGTTAAACAAAATCTGCCTCATCATGCGCTTTTTGATTTATTTATATCTCTTAATCCATAATTATGTAGCGCGATGCAGTGCTTCTCACACTTCTCTCATGTCGACAGTAGTCTTACGAGGATGCAAACATTTCTATCACCACTGTACACAGACCATAGCACACTTGTAGAGTCACATATTGCCTAACACGATGAAGTAAATTATTGCCAGCAGATAAAACGAAGAAATGATTCCTCCATACTCTCTTCCGTGACGAAGTTAATTTATTTTTGTTTGAGATAATATGTGTCATGCGTGCAGTATGCTTAACTTCCAGAGATACTTACATGCATGTCTACGAAAGAGAAAGAGACAAGATGCCACTCTTTGTCGTGAATGCTTATTACACAGGTAAGTACGCATTTGCATTTTTCATGAACTAGTTCTTCGAACATGTGCATGAAAGCTATATTACGACAATTGCAGCGTTTAGTACGATTTGAGTTAACTGATTCTTTGTGACACACAAGTGATGCAGAGTTCACGCTTCAGGCTATAACACGCTTGACGCAGCTGTACTCCTGTAATTCGGTTTTTCTGTGCACGTGACGCCAGTCAGCCCTGTTAAAGCAAACGCACTTCGAGGTTTAGCGACTTAAAGTTTAATGATTTAGAGCTAACTGAATTGAGCATGTTTGATCCTGCCCAATCGGAGTGATTCTGCCGAATCGGCTGGCGATATTCGCCTAGGTCGTTTAAGCCTATTCTGGGTTTTTATCTTTCTCACCTAAATTTAGTTAGGAACGATGTCGCCACTTCGTGTTTGGAATCTGTTTTTCCCAAGTATTGCCCGCATCAAATGTCGGAGGCGTTTGAAGACCAGCTTACTAGGCTTGGTTTAACTAACTTTCCAGAAGAAAATCTGGGTCTTCTTAGTGAAAGATTATTAAATCAACCTAAACCGGGGGGTGGGGACACGACGGGCGTTAATAAGGTTTGCCCTTCATGTGCATTTCGTATCTCCATGCCTTCTCTCACCATATGAAAAAGGTTGGAAACATAATTGGTACTGACGTTGTTTTTTTCCGCTAGGAATAAGTTGGTCCGAGCTTGCACAGCGGGCGATAGGAAAAATTGAAGGCAAAGAAAAAATTGGCAGATCCCACGTACAGTGTGAATCAATTATATGCGAAGCACGAATAAGAAATGTTTATATGTCACTTTAAAATCAGCACAACGTTAGGAGGTGGAGGTAAATGATGCCGTACAATACCCGTGTTATGATTATCGTTTTTCAATGTGTCGTTTACCTTCGCCATCTAATCACATTCACGTGATAACGAATTTAGTATATGTGGAGCTAGCCAAATGGCCGCAAGCACGCTATGAGCGTGGTATGTTGTCATGTTCTTACACGACACGCGTATCAGTATTATCATGCTTGCACCAGTCATATATTTCGTCATTACTTGACGTCACGTAACACCAAATTTGGTATATGTGGAGCTAAGCAAAACGGCCACGAGTGCATCATGAAGGGCCCTAATATACTCCAATGTAGCGTTGACGCGCGCACACGCTAGGTACAGTGACGCTACCTTAGCAAAATGCGGGCACTCTATATTCTGACGCTTGGAGCGACCAGTGTCCGTCGGCGTGGCCCGATGGCAACCGGCGCGAAATGCGACATGCTGCATTTCGCGCTGATGTGTTACTGAGACAACACTGTGTCTTCATTTTTTTTTCGTGACGGAGGGACGCTGGACGCACTGAAACACGCATGCGTCAAAGCAGCGCAGCGCGGCGCGTTCCGGCGAGTATATGCCAGGACCAGCGTTTGGCATGGCAACGCCGGCGTGACGCGACGAAATGAAAGCCGGCGAGCACGCGCACCGCGTCACGTCGAAATGAATCGGCGCCTTGAATGTGGCATGTAGCCATATTCTCACATGACATGCATCTCATGATTATCATATTTGAACCATTCACATACCTTCGTCATTCATTGGCGTCACGTAATACCAAAAATGTAAAGCTAGTGAAACAGCCACGAAAGCTTCATCGGTGTGGCATGTAGTCATGTTGTTACGACATGACTACATGTCATCCATTCACGTCATCCATTCACGTACTGTAATACCAAATTGGTATATGTGACGCTAGCGAAATGGCCGCGAGCGCATCATGAGCGTGGCATGTAGTCATTTTGTTACATGACACGCATGTCATGATTTTCCTGTTAAGAGTCTGTCGCTTGTGTTTGCCATGCAATCATGCCATACCAGACCAGGTTTGCAACATGCCATATGAACGAAACCACCGCAAGCGCAGCAAGACCATGAAATGTAAATTATGATATTGATGACATACATGTTGTGATTTTCACAATGTGACTAGTCAAATATGTTCTTCATACAGTCATGTCATGCCATACCAAAATTGTTATTGATACCTATATGGAAATGGCCTGGAGAGCTAAAATTCGTAGGCAACTAGAGATAGATAGATAGATAGATAGATAGATAGATAGATAGATAGATAGATAGATAGATAGATAGATAGATAGATAGATAGATAGATAGATAGATAGATAGATAGATAGATAGATAGATAGATAGATAGATAGATAGATAGATAGATAGATACGCTCAAAGTCGCCGAAGTTTGCCAGAAAATGCTTCGCATTTAAAGAAAAGTGGAGTGAATGTGAGGTTAATCAATGGGAAACGTTAGTCGAATGGGGAAAGGGTGCAGTGTATCTCATACCCATGTCATGTGGTAAGTGCTATATTGGGCAAACCTGCAGGTGTTTGAATAACTGACTGATAGATCACAGGTCATCGCTGAAGGCCCAGCCTGCATTGAATCTGTGCCTACATTGCAGAGAATGCTAATATTCCTCTTTATACTTCGCGAAAGAATTGTATTTTCCTGACAGATAGATAGGGCAGCGAGACAAGTTGTTGAAATTTTTATATAAACAATTATGGCTATACGTGCACATGTGTCGCCAGGCCTTCAGTTCAATGCACCAACTAGAGATAGATTATCTCATTGGCAACCTCTAATCTTTTACGTCATTTGTTGCTATTTCTTCCATCAGTATTGCTATTTCTTCAGTGCTTTCTTCAGTCAACTTTAAGTTGCCAGTATGCTCTTGTGCGCGTGCCTTCGCTGTTCTTGTCTTTTTTTTTCGCGTAGTTCTCGTTGTCATAAGTTACCAAGTCGCCCATACCTCAGTCCTCTTAAGGAACTCTGACGTTGTATTGAATTATCTCAGATCGTACCCCCATAAGTACTTTAATGCTTTTGCTTTAGGCATTGCAGACAATCTTCATTCCCTGCCTCAGACTGCTCTCTTGCGTGAAGCCTTGCATTAACCGATTTGGGAATGTCACCTTCATGGACTCTACCAGACTTGAATATGGGCAATAATTATAACTCTTTGGTTAGATCTTATCTACGTACCGCTTTCAATCTATGAGAAGGCCCGCCTTACATACAGAAGCAAGGTATTTGAATCGGCCCCTGCATTGCACCTATTATGAACAATTTATTTTTATAACAGCTTCAGAAAAACATGTGTGATCGGCTCTCAGAATTTAAAGTTAAGATGATGTTTATATATGTGGATGATTTTTCAATTTCCTCGTCTGCAGCACAGACTGTTTTTAAGTGTGAATACAAGTTATAAGCGACCCCAAACCATCCACCGCCGTCGGCGGCGTCCGCAGTCTTCTCTCTATCTTTAAAAGAAAGAGGACTTGGCGGGCCGCAGCGCGACGCTCTACCGAATAAGCCACGGACGCGACGCTGATATCGGTGTCAGTAACGCGCCTTATACCCCCTCCCCCTTCGCTCGCTCCTCCGCTCTCCTCGCTCGCTGCAGCTGCGCGCGCACCCCTCTCTCTCGCGTGCGCGCCTTCTCTCTCAGTCTCCTGTCGAGAGCGGGTTGTGAGGGAGAGTAAAGTTAAAATCCGTTGACATTCGCCAGTGAGTTAACGTAAACTCCCCCATGTGATCAAATTGCGATTCCCAGGAACCATTACACCATAAAGGCACCATAGTGGGATTAATAAATATAATAGTGCGAATTAGTAAATACCCCTCATAGCACTCACCCCGTGTATTCGCACTTAACCATGTTCACCCTCGGGGAAATGCTTGGGATTTTTATTCTTCAGCCATTAAAGTTCTTTCCCTTGTACGCGAGGTCTTATCCCCTCTTGTCGAAACACAAGAGTTGCCGGATAACGGTAGTGTTCGCTTTCTCGACATTAGGCTTTTATTCTATGATGAAAGGATTCGCTGTACGTACGATCCTCGTGCCAACAAGTCAGTGTTACCGTACGAGTCGGCAGCGCACTGCGAGTTCGTGAAGAGTGGATGAACGAAGATTGATTTGCTCAGCGCCCTACGCAACTCATGTCCTTAGAGCAGGGTCGTCGACCCATGCTTTGAGAAGTCAGCCTATCTGCACCAAATAGTTGAATTTGCCGAAGGCTTCAAATAGCAATGATTGAGAAGTGACGTTGCCTCGATATGTGGTTCCCTGTTTTCGAAATAAGCACTGTTGCTAGTTAGCGCCTGTGTGTGTCAAGTTATTGGCAGTGTGTTTTTTTCGTGTGCAATAAAGCTTCAGTATGACCAGATCGCTACTGTACCATGCAGAGTGAGACTTATCTTTTCAAGCAATACCTGAACTGTCACTTCAATTGCTGCAGGTACTAATATAACGGACTCTAAAATATCTGCTCACTACACTATACTTTTTGCTAAACCCATGTGCTTCATCGTGGCTACACAACAAGGTGAGATAAGGACAGCTTAAACGTCCAAAGTGCTCGTTATTTTTCTGAGTCATCCTCAATGTATAGAGAGAATATGTGCCACTTTCAAATGAAGTAAAGTTTATACGATAAAATGCAGTTCTTCTGTCATTCCTACATATAGTCTCCAAGTTCGTATGACATTTCAGTTGCTCTATCTGCATTTATTAGTTGGTTTTAAACAGAAAGCCCTCGCTATGTTTGTCAAGACCTAAAAACATTGGTTTGGTTACGACGTCCATGAATATAGAAGTTGCTAAAGTAAATAAGCGCATCAGTGTAGTATTGAGAACAAATTGACTATTCTTCCTGCCCCATTTAAATGGTATTTTGAATCATTAGACAGCCACCCAATTTACTATAATTTAGGAAAGTGACAAACCGTAATCCCACTCTTGTAAGACGCAAACAATGTATATTGAAAGTACTGGGCTTAATCATTCTATTGCAGCATTGCCACGCACAATTGATCAATAATATCAGTTTTGAAATGGCATTCCGAAACCCGGACACGCAATCGGCCCATTTTAGTGGGTGTTAGCTGACTATCGCGCCATCTGGAAGCAGTGACGCAAAACAAGAACACCAGGCCTGCGCGGAAGGCGCAGCACGGTCGCAGCGAAAGCTAGAGCGGCCTTGCCGAGCCCTTTCAAAACACTTATTGCGAAACAACTGCAAGCACGCTTGCTTGATACCCAATAGGACAATAATAATAAACTTTTGGGTAGTAGGCCGGCATTTGCTGTGCTAATTTTTGTCATTTTTCTGAGAAGCCTGGTATTCGCTAAACACTTGCAAGGAATTTCGTGCCAATTGTTCATGCAGTGGCTGACGACGATGAGGCATTGTGGCTGAAGTGGGTATGCACCGCAGTTTAAAGGAAAACAAGAACAAGCTTTTCTATTAGATTGGAGCCTTGGATAGCCCACTCGTTTTGCTATTCGCATTTTGCGATGACTGGTTGTACTTTCACTGTTTTAAAACGCTTTATAAGTCGTATTAACGCGATTGCTTTACCGACATGAAGCCTGCCTAAGGCAAGTTTGCCAATAAGTCAGAAGCACCTGTGTAGCTCAGTGGTAAAATACTGGGCTGGCGCACAGCGGACCCGGGTTGAAGCCTCACTATGTCTTTAGTGCTAGGTCCTTTCTCTAATCTCGCGCGATGTGCTTACAGACACTGGCAGCGGCGGCGGGCAATTGTGCGTGACCCGAGTTGTGATCTCATAACAGCGCCGGTGGACATCTCCACGCGACCCGAGTTTTGATATTATAACAGCTTTTGTTGTAAAATAATGCATTTATTAGTTAGTGTGATGATCAAGAGGTGGCGCAAAATCTGCAAATTTCTGACATCAAGGCCAATGACGTGTCCGGATTTTGATACAAGGAGTCTCTGGGAAGTTTCGCGAATTGCGTGATTGAAAAATTGTGCTTGCCTTGTCTGAATTGATGGGTAATTTTTCATCTAGAGTTCGCGGCTTAAGCTGTGCAATGAGGTGAATTCACGAAATCAAATTGTCTGTATGAAATTTTTTTTCGGCCGGATTTGTTACCTTTGAGCTGCTCCAAGACATGCCACATTTTTTGTGAGCTTTGTAGCTTTTTCTGGATAAAGCGTATGTAGGTTTACACGTTTTCAACAAATTATGCTTCCTTTCTTTGCAGTTACTGTGACAAGTACTGGAAACAGAATTGATCGTAGACAAGCAAGTAATTCTAATTCGTTTATACGTAGTGTAGTACACTTCGTTTCACACATCAGGCGCGATGCTATTGGAGCTATAAAAGTTCAGTGTACAAAAAAATGAATGAATCCGCGTGCCGCTACAGTGCTGCACCTGATATATCAAACATGTACGACTTTCTTGTCAGATAAAGGTAACATTTTACCACCTGCTACTCCTTCTCTTTCCCAGTATTGCTTATACCGTGCACCTAAGCCACTCAATTTTCAACCATAAAGAAGTTTCAGCACTGCTTGGCAGTGAATAATGTGCGGGCATTTTGAAGGAAAGAAATAAGTTTTGCAATGATATAATCAAAGGAAAGTAGAGTCGGCTCTAAGACTACAATGATACATGCTGGCGCTGTCTAACTTTATGAAAGTGGCGTCGACTTCAGCCTTCTGCACGTTCCACAGTTTTCCGCCCTTATAGCTTTCCATCGACATGAAAAACATAACGTTTTTGGTTTTTTTAAATATATGTGATGCTATGCAACTTCCGAAGTGTTTACCTTGCTGGCGCAATAATAACGTATGAAAGGAGTAGTGTGTCTTTGTGTTCACCGCTTGCCATTTTCTCGCATATTCACACCGTTTCAGGAACTTCAGCGTGCTTACTTTGGAGGACAGCATTTGCGCCAGAGAAGTATCGACCTCCATGCAGAGAAGCATTCAAGAGACACTGCGCAAGATATCACGGGTACAAATTTACTTACACAAGAAGCATTTGCGGGCCTTTTAACTATACAATGCTATCCTTGCCAGTCACAGCAAAAGTGAAATGAATAAAAACTTTGTCTGCGCTGACTGTCTGACCACGAAGGCTAACCAAAAGCTGGAAATGCGGCTATAAATAGGGCGAGAGTATTGGCAACGTATAGTAGGACTGAAAAAGTTCATTTTTGTTCGTGCCGCCTGTGAAGTCTAACATAGGAGAGCCCTTCGTTCGAAGCCCCATTTTCTACTGAGATCCATCTTCTCAAGTATTCAACGATCTTTTGGGTTGTACAATGTCTTTCTGTTCGACTCGTAGCGTGTTCCACTTGTGGGTCAAACAGTAGCCCCATTATAAAACTGCTTTGCAAGGTAGACAAATAGTAACTCCGCCATCGATCTTTTACAGCGTTCCAACAAGCTCCGGCTACGTAGCCTCCTCTGAACGGTGTTGCCCTTGCTCCCACTGTGGCCAATCTTTGGTGGCAGCATTACCGCGGCTCGTGTAGCGCATCGTGCTCATTTTATGACATCCCCAACAGCGCTGTGACTGCCAAACATTTCTTGTGGGCTTGTACAGGCCTGCATTCAAGTCGTCTTCGCCACCTCCTAGCAGCAGCCCCCTCGGCTTGGTACACCACCCAACCTCAACTACAGAGTTCATGGACCTTTCACTATTGTCGTTTAGACTTTCTACGCCAAGCAAACTTGTACGTGTAATATTGACAGCGCGACATACTATGCGCAAGGGCAGAATTTTGATAAAAAACTATACATTTACACTCAACGTGCAAGCTGTAGGAAGTGCGGATTAGCGATTCGCCTGTTTTTCAGCGACGCTGGCGATCATGGAAAAGTGTGAGCGAGCTCATGTTCTGTACGCACTGGCTGCTTGGCCTGCGCGGTGCAAAAAGAAAGCCTTTACTTTTCATGGCTCAGTCTCACAATACTACTGGTCAACTTACACCTTTTTTAGACCGTTGAGTTATAAAACACGCCTACATGACTATGATATGCTTTAATCAGCCCCTCCATCGGTCCTTCATCACCCTTAAGTATGCACTCCTCACTCTGACTTTCATTTCCCACTGCCTCGCTGTACTGCACTACGTACGGTTATGCTGTGCTTCGCCTAACACCTCCTCATTTTTCTCACCATCGCGCTCGTATCACTTCTTCCTGCCCACACTTGCCTTTCCCACCATTTTATACGCTATGCCACATAAGGCTATGCTATACTATGCCGCCTATGGTATGAGTTACCGTCTCCCACGCTCACTTCCACGCTCCTCGCTTTCATATTACTCGTAACCCTCACTTCCCTTCCACGCCCCTTAGCTATTCATGGCAGGGCTAGGAGTCGTTTTGCCCGCGTCACACAAAGCGGTGACTTGAGATGGCATAACACGATCACAGCAGATGTCATTACTTCTCTCTCATTCCTTCCTATTTTGCCTCCTATTCCTCACTTTCATTTGCTACCTTCTTGCTATACTATACTACAAACACGTGTTTCTATGCATGGCTATACTATACCGGGTTTCGTTCGCGTGCCACTAAGTGACCTGAGACGACGACGACAAATTACGCTGACATCATATGACGAGCGCGTGAGACAGCCCCGGCTCCCTATGTGTTTCAAAATGTAAGCACAGTGTGTTCAGCTATCCAATCAAGTAAAGGTTCTGCTGATGTGGCAGTAGTGATCAAGTCCAGTAGCATGTGATATTACCTTTACTGCAATCAGTTCACATCTACCCAGCTCGTCCCAACACACCACCAGCGTGTTAAATGCTTACAAGGCCAACCTCCTTGGCATCGAACTTTCCCAGTTATGAGGCTTTTTTTTAAGGATTTCGAATTCATGCGATTCACAAATTTTTCCCGCAGGCACGGATTGACCACTACCACACACGTAGAAATACGCTCGACCTTTAAAGCCATCTGAAGTTCATTGGCACAGAAATTTCTGAAAACAAAGAGCCCTGAAACCCTTTTTTCAGTAACCATGGAATTAGTAAGCGTATTGCCTCTCAAACTCAATGCCACAAAAATTTTAAGAATCCGTCCAGTACGAGTGGTGTTACAAAGATTTGTCACACGTTGCAATCGCATTCTCTCTTTTCTTGTCCCGATGAAAGCGCTGGAAGCTAAGCAGGGAGGAATGGGAGGGTCAAATAAAAAAAAACGGCACGCGCGCCTCGTGACTTTGCGCATTTTTTTCGTCAAATACGCGGCTTTTTTTAGTGCGATCGCGCGCACGTGGCGAGTGATGGCCTCTTCTGGTGATCTATGTAGCAATCAAGTGCGTCATGTTCCATTCAGCCAATGGCTGATTGATGGGCAATAGACGTGTGATATTTAAGCGTCTTCCGTCATTTGTCGAGGGCAGAGAAAGCAATCTTTAGCTGACTGATAATTTATTGTGATTTCCAGGCCGCGTGCTGCGCTATAACTATGGCTCGCGTGTGCTCGGGAGCCTTTACTACTCATCGAGAGCGTTTTCTGACTATGCTCAAAAAGTGTTGCAGGTTAGTGAGCATTGTTGGACCAGGATGGGCGAATGTATAGACGGGTATACTGTTGAAGACAACACTTGCGTGCAGGGCATGTCTGAATTTTGCTTTCTGACAAAAACATAGATCCTTTTATTTGCATTAGAGCACCCCGCCGCGGTGGTCTAGTGGCTAAGGTACTCGGCTGCTGACCCGCAGGGCGCGGGTTCGAATCCCGGCTGCGGCGGCTGCATTTCCGATGGAGGCGGAAATGTTGTAGGCCCGTGTGCTCAGATTTGGGTGCACGTTAAAGAACCCCAGGTGGTCTAAATTTCCGGAGCCCTCCACTACGGCGTCTCTTATAATCATATAGTGGTTTTGGGACGTTAAACCCCACATATCAATCAATCATTTGCATAAGAGCAATAGTGGTTCAGAGTTCTGACTATTTTCGACAAAAAGGTGTCATGCGTAAACAAGCCTTCCACGTCCACTTGCCATTAGGGGGCCCGTAATAAGAAGGATGCTTATTCAGATGTTCCTTTTAACAATAAACCATACCGTACTTTAAGGCTATCAATCCTGATAATCTGATCCATACGGAGGAAGGGTAAGCATGCGCAACGTTATTACCCACTTGAGTCAAAAATAAGGCACTACGTACTCTTTCAATAATTATAAGCGGAACACGACGGGTTCATTCGTTACGTTTCTCGTACTTTAGTTTCCGCATATGTTGCGTTCACGATTTTATCTTCGGGGGAGTGGTTGAGGGATATATTAACAGCGGATCTTTTTAAGCCAGCCGTCGAAACTGTGGTGTCGAAAATGTGTACAAAAACTACCATCATCATGAGCTAGCCTTCACGTTTTCATTCTTGATACACTAAAGCTATCGGCCACTCCTGCACTATTGTCAAAGACTCCCCAGTTCGCTATGCGCATCAGGAACGGCCCAAGGCCTTCTACCGTGCACAGCAGATGGGGGCGTTAAATGAAAAGTACTACACATAGTGAGGCACATGAAAGAAGTAAAGAGTGAAAGAAAAAAACAGATAGTATGGAGAGCGAAAGAAAATGATAGAAAGAAAAAAAGAGAAAAAATGGTGACGCTTGCACAAGTCTGCAAAAGGCTTGAAACAACAAAGCTATATGATTCCGAAGACTAAAAACACAGTGGGCAACCTTGAAACAGGGCTGGCAAAGATACTCTGAAATTTCGCCGCTATACAACACAAGATACTCAGGCAAGATGTAGTTGAGACGCCGATGCAAGATACTATCCCAAGTAGATGGGAGATTAGTGAGTTCTATTTTCACAGTCGGATAGTGGGAAAGTGGGTTCTAATCTCTCCTCGTACATACACTTTTTCGCCAAAATTTCATTCTATCTCTTTTTTTGCCTCTCTTCTACTTTGTACTCGTTATTTCATTCATCACACTTTATCTGAATGGTGCACTGGACGAATCGGCGTACGTGTTCCACGAGCGACGCAGAAGCTATAAAAGAAAATGAAGAGAACGCAAGCCGGTTCTTGATGATCATGACGGTTTTTGTTCACAAAGCGTGGTCCGCAGCTGAGCTTAAGCAGCTTCGCTGTCAAACTATGGCAATAACAAAAGTTACTTAGGCTTGGCGCAGATGTTCACGTGGTTGATTCTGTAGAGCCATCCTGAGTGTTGCCCTGTTATTTTGCTCCTTCAATAGGGACGCGCAGACCTCATCACATGCCCCGAGTGGAGCACTCTGGTGGAAAGAGAACGTGTCACTGCCCTTGTGAGATGCGAAGCTTCTTATGGCGGGGGCTGCTTCCGTCCGTCGCCTCCTCCCGTGGTGTCCTCCTCTCTTCACTGCGCATGCGCGTTCTTTTCCCTCTTTCTTCTCTCCTACGCTTCCCTCTCACCTCAGTCTGTGGCGAAGGTAACGAAACGCTTCCTCAATACACACGATCACTTCGTAGCCGTTGATCGGCGACCTTGCGGCGTTCCACTTTTCCGTGAGACAGAGCGCGTCTGCTTTAGTTAGCATGATATCACGTTCGATTGCCTGTGGTGTGTGCGTTGACAGACCCGCTGCTTCGCAATGCTATACTCATGGTCACCGGCAGCGTTAGTCTGGTAGAGGTCTTCAAAGTTGGCGCACCTGCTCAAGATGACGTAGAGAGTTTTCGTGGGTGACGTTCGTCGTCTTCCCGCTACTTCGCATCTACGAATGGTTGTCCTTGACGAGATGGGGTAATGTTCTATTCGGGTGTCTTAGTGGTGTCAGGAACAGGTTGAGAAGTGAAAGATCAGCCGGCGACTATGCTTAGCCTAGGTGGTGTTGTGATAACACCATCCTAATAAACGGAAAGAGTTTTCCAGGGCTCCTTCCTTTGTTTGACCCTACCTTGATGCGAACCAGCAGATCATGACGCCTTCGGAGGTACAGGAGATGTGAATGGTACTGTTTTGACTGTATTGTAGTAGCTGCAATATTGATGAGCAGACAGTAAAGGGGACGACTGGGTAACTTGCCACCGGTGGGGTCTTATTCTGCGACCTTCGAAGGTTGCAGGTTCGATCCTTGCCGGTAGCAAGTTGTCTTTTTGTCCACTTC